TCCCGGTCAGGGCACATACAGAAGGCAACCGATCAGTGTTTCTTTCTCATATCAGTGTTTCTATCTCTAAGGTTGTCCTCAGGTGAGGATTAAAAATAAAATAAAATAAAATAGCACCCTAGTCTGGGGCCTCTTGGTGAAATACATTTGATGATCTCAAGCCACAAAGAAACATTTAAAATAGGTTAAACTAAGTCAAGTTTTTTATTAATTTATTTGTTTTTAAAGAAATAGCTAATGCATTTTATTTATTTATTATTTTTTAATCCTCACCCGAGGATATTTTTCCATTTTTTGTACAGATAGAATGGGAGGAAGAGAGAGAGAGAGAAACATCGACGTGAAAGGGACACATCGAGTGGCTGCCACCCGCACGACCAACCAGGGCTAATGCATTTTAAAAAGGTTTCATCCAAAATGATAAAGATAAAATTTTAAGTTTTAAAGTTAACCTTTATGGGAAACTTAGTTCTCTAAAATGGTGTTTCTAGATAACCAAAGGACAGTGAGCAGGCAGAACTCAAAACCAGTGGTTCCTCACCTTGTGTGAATATTGTTACAGATCAACTCTGCTTTCCCTTCTACTCTGCTCTCTTCATGCACTGCCGCATGAAGTACCTTTACCCTCTCACTCCATGATTTTAGCTGGCGATGCAGAACATCTGTTCATCTAGCACACGGTTTTAGAGCACCCGATATGTGACTGGGACCATGCCTGGCCCTGAAAATATAACGGTGTGTGAAAGATACAGTTCTGCCTTTAAGTGGTTCATGGGCAGTTGGGGAGAGAGACACAGAAACAGATGTTTAGAATCAAGTTCAGCATAGGCTGCTATAGGATTATGCAGCAGGGCCATATAACCGTTTATGTGTAGGGTGGGAGGATGTGGGAAGACCTTGGGGCTTCCCAGGGGAAATGATGCTCAGGCTACAATCTTAAGGGAAGAATATTCCAAGCAGAGGGAATAATATGTGCAAAAGTTCAGAATCCAGAGAACAATGTGCGATTAGGAAACTTACAAATACACTATGATTTATTTTGATCTATGTATATAGTATGAGCCCAGGGATAGAGGGATCATCCTGGTGGGGAAGGGAAGGGGAGCAGCACAGATAGGGCAAGACCTTGTGTAACATGTGAGAGAGTTTGGACTTCACCCTGAGGGGCAGCCAGGGATCTCTGAGGGTTTTGAGCAGGGCCCCTGCATACCTCTCCAGCTCCTGTTGCTTTTCTCTCTGTGTCACTGGTCATGCTCACTTCTTTTTGTTCCTGCAAAGGCCAAGGTCATTCTTGCCTTAGGACTCTGCCCTTGCCACTACTTCTGCTTGGAATGCACTGTAAAGACTAGTCTGGTTGCAATGTACTAATTAGATTAGAGTAGGGTGAGCCTAGAAACGGGGATGGACTAGGTAGCCAATGCAGCAATCTAAGAGGGAGGAGATGGTGTTCTAAACTGGGGAAGTGGAAGTGTGGATAGAGAGACAGGGACAGAAATCTGGAATATTTTAGTAGGTAGAATTGACAGTGTCCAGCAAGTGATTGACTTGGGTGGCAAGGATGATACCTCAGGCCATTGATATTCAAACGGATGGAACAGCAACATAGTGTGATCTGATTTCCAGTGATCTACCGCATGATGTGTTTTGAGACCTCACTGCTTCAATGGAACATGAGCTGTCTGGATTTGCTCACTGAGTTGTGAATAGATTCCAGCTGCATTAATGCAACCCATGGCCTTGTTTATGTCTCTATTAACATTTATGATTATGTGCCTTGGGCTCTCTATAAACTGATACCTAATAACATGCTTACTGGTGGGCATAATGGAATAAATGAGACAAAAATCAAAGTAAATGACCAAGATGATCATGATCAAGTAGTTCTTATTAAGAACCATTAAGTACAAGACTTGGGTTTCCGTATGCAAGTTCCCTTTAACAAACTTGGCCTATGTGATACGCTCCCTGGTAGAGATTCTTAACTCATTACATTTATTTCAACTCTAAAACCCAGCCATTCCCAAGCCAGGCCCCCTGAACACTAGGCTTCTTCTGCCCAGAGTTTTTCTGTTTACATTTGCTACTATAGAGATTTGGTTTGTTTCCGAAAGATACATTTTAGCATTTGTGTGGTGAGCCACATTTGTTATATTTGAACCATGTGTGATGTAAGGAAGAAGGGTAACCACTTGGTTTAGAGGGGGAAGGGAGACTCTTTGGGTCAGCAGCGATACTTCCTGCCAATTTAAAATGGGCTGGTTAAAGACTGTGCTTTCAGGGATCATTTCTATAGTTTGTAAAAATGAGCTGGTTAGATGTAGATGGTGGCAGAAATTACAAGTGTGTGTGTGTGTGTACACACACACATATATGTGTATATTTTTAGATGTCAAAAGACTAATGTGGATATAAAACTTGTTAAACTGGACCATGCTGTTTTCCAGCCTTAAACATAAAGGAAAAATACTGTTTTATATGGCTTACTTTGGAGTTGAATAATATAGCTCTTAATTGACCTAGAAGTGCTTCTAAGACCAAGCCTCATTTATGTCTTATTATACCTTCAGTTATATAAACTGTGAGGAGCCAAACAGACAAAGTAGGGAAAGGGCTTCATCTGATAGTGGAGTGATTCATAAAGTAATAACACAGATGGAACACTAGGGTCCAGAGAGGTTGTTTTGTCCATGGGACACAATAAATTCATTTCTTCATTCAATAAACATATATTTAGTATGTATTATATAGGTGTACTAGTTAACTCTTTCTGTATAACAAATTACTCTAAAACATAGTGACGTAAAACAACATACATTTATTGTCTCAGACTTTCTGTGAGTCAGGAAATTTGTGCATGGCTTATCTGGGTCAAGGTATCTCATAAAGCTGCAATCAAGGTGTCTGCAGAGTCTGGGGTCACATCTGAAGGTTCCACTGGGGAAGGATCTACTTCAAATATACATAATTACTGGTAGGATTCAGTCTTTGCAGAAACTGGAAGTCTTGGTTTCTTGCTGGCCATTGGCTGATGGCCATCCTCAGTTCCTTGCCATATGATTTCTCTGACATGGCATCAAACTATATAACCCGAGAAGGCAATAGAGAGAGTCTGCTAGCAAGATGGAAGTCACAGCCTCCTAATCACAGAAGTGACATTCCATCAACTTTGCCATATTCTATTGGTCAAAAGCAAGTCACTAGTCCAACCCACACTCACGGAGAGGGGATTACACAAGGGTATGACCACCAGGAGGTGGGGATCACTGAGGGCCATCTTTGAAACCTGTGTACCACAGTTGGTACAAATATTCAGGTTTCTTTAGTCTTAGATACAGCTTTTTCTACTAGACTAAACCATCTGATTGTGTGTTTGTGAAACACTATTATGTTTACTGTGATAGGTCAAAAAATGTCCTCCCCACAAAAAAAAATGTTTATGTAATCCCTTACAGGGTATAATGGACTTTGCAGGTGTGATTAAGTTAAGAATTTAGAGATGGGGAGATAATTCTGAATTATCCAGGTAAGGCCCAGTATAATCACACAGGTCCTTATAACAGAGAGGCAGAGGATCAGAGTCGGAGAGGATGATGTGATGATGAAAGCAGAGGCTGGAATGGTGCAGCCACACGCCGGGGAATAGGGGCAGCTTTTAGGAGATGGAAAAGGCAAGGAACAGAGACTTTCCCCTTGCACCTCCAGAAGGAAAATCACCTGTCACCTTGATTTTAGCCCAATAGCACCAATTTAGTACTTATGGCCTCCTAAACTGTAAGATAATGAATCTAGGCTGTTTTAAGCCACTAAGTTTGTGATCATTTGTTCTAGTAGCAATAAGAAACTAATACACTTACTAAGGACTTTGGGGGGAACCCACTTATGGAGATTTTTAAGTAACGAGGGGAGGCACAAGGTACAGGATGATGGGCTTTCAAGGGATTTTCCTGCCCTCCAGTGATTCTGACACAATTTACATATTGTAACTTGTATTTTTAGGGAAGTGTTTCTAATTCTCTTCCATACTAAATTTTATCAATAGTGAACAGGTAAAAAATTTCTTAGGATTAGTTATATGGGCCTCACTTACTCTTCAAAATGAAACAAAAACATGGCATTTAGCAGAGGCCACTAAGGCTGCTGGTTTTTGTGCGTGTGTGTTTTCTTTATAGATTTTTAGAGAGGGGGGTAGAGAGAGAGATAGAAACATCCATGAGAGAGGACATCAATTGGTCACTTCCTGCATGCCCCCCACTGAGGATCAGGCCCACAACCTGGGCATGTGTCCTGACTGGGAATTGAACCAGTGACCTCTTAGTCCATGGGTCAAAGCTCAACCACTGAGCCACACCAGTCAGGTAACACTTCTGTTTGTTTTCAATCCTCACCGGAGGATATTTTTACGTTTATCATCAGATAGAGTGGAAGGGAAGGAGAGAGAGAGAAACATGGACATGACAGACACATTGACTGGTTGCTCCCACATGACCTGACCAGGGCCAGGGACAAACCACAACCAAGTTACATGCCCTTGACCAGAATCGAACCTGAGACTCATTGGTCTGAGGGCCAATGCTCTAACCACTGAGCCAAATCTGCCAGGGCAAGGCTTCCGTTTTTTTTCATCCTCACCCGAGGACATTTTTCCATTTTTTGTTCAGACAGAGTGGGAGAGAGAGAGAGAAACATCGACGCGAAAGGGACACATCGAGTGGCTGCCACCCGCACAGCCAACCAGGGCCGGGGACAAACTGCAGCCGAGGTACACGCCCTTAGCGGGAACAGAACCAGGGTCTCTCTGGACCGCAGGCTGACGCTTTAACCGCTGAGCCAAACCGGCCAGGGCAAGGCTTCCGTTTTTAAAGCTTGTTGCTTGTTATTTATTTGTGCCTTAGGAGTGGAAATATTGGCTGAGATAAACCTACCTGGCACAAAACACTTTTCCTTCTTGGTGTTTCACAGCCAGGTGTTTTGAAATTCTTTTGTTTTTCTTTTTTCTCCAGTGCCTGGAAACCTTGGCTGCTACAAGGATCATGGAAACCCACCTCCCCTAACTGGTGCCAGTAAAACATCTAACAAACTTACCATACAAACCTGCATCAGCTTTTGTCGAAGTCAGAGGTTCAAGGTAATTGCTCTGTGGCTATATATCTATAGAAACAGATAAAAATGTAACTTCATTCTGCTGAGGTAACTTAAAAATATAGATACGTTTGAATCACAGTCTGTGAAGCCATACAACTCTATTTTTCTACCAGGGAGAAATCGGAAGAAGAGTAGAGCTGGAAACTCAGAAATCATTTAGCCTAATATCCTCATTTTATAAGAAAACTGGGCTCAAAGTTTAAGTAATTTACCCAAGCTTACATACGCAATAGTAATAAAACTAGAAATCAAACTACTTTTTTCTAAAACTAAAATTCTATCAATGATATTTCAACTGGCTCTCTATCAACTAGGCTTTTCTAATGCTTCACACTATTGTGACATGAACGCCAAGACACTACAGTGCATTGAGAAATTCAAGCCTGGAAGAGGCTCTGTCTCTTCATGAAAAGGAAAGAACGTGTGAGGAGCGACTTTCTAAAGGCTTGTTCTCAATGTCTGGATTTTTAGTGACCAGTTAACCCCTAGTCCCTCTACTTTCATGACCCACCCACAAAATTATGTCTCCTTTTAAATCTCCTTTATGCACTGAGGTTTTAATTTTATAAAAAAACCCTTCCAGTCAAAAAGAAGAAGTTAATTCAATATGAGAAAATCCAGCTTTGTTTCAATATTTCCATGATTATTTTGAGTGGTTCATTTTCCAGCCTCTGTGACACTTGACAGACACCGCTAACATGTTCACCCATTTCATAGCTTGAAAGATCCTTAATTTCCCCCAAAGACTTCCTGAGCAAAAGGACTACATGTGGGAAATCAATGAAAATAGGAATGAGAAGAAAAACAAAGTTAAAAATTAGTTACTTTTTAAATTTGAAAAATAAAATTAAAAATCAAAAACATATTTTAAAAAATTAAAACAAAAAATTTAACTGCATTTACAGTAGCATAAATAACAAGAATACATTTAACAAAAGATATTAAAGACTTATACACCATATACCAGGTAACAATGCAAGGGTAAATTCAAAATGAACTAAATGAGTGGAGATATAGACATTGTTTATGGATTGGAACGCTCAATATTTAAAAGTCAACACTCCCCAAATTTATCTATATATTCAATATACTCCCAACTAAAATCAGAGCTTTTTAAAAAAAATTTTTTTTTCCTTTATTGATTTTACAGAGAGAGGAAATGAGAGGGAGAGAAAGATAGAACATCGACTGGCTGCCTCCTGCATGCCCCCCACTGGGGATCGGGCCCACCACCCGGGCATGTGTTCTGACCAGGAATTGAACTGGCGACCTCTTGGTGCATGGGTCAATGCTCAACCACTGAGCCACACTGGCCCGACCAGAGCTTATTTTTGGGAAAAAAAATTGACAAGCTGATTCTAGAATTTATATGGAAAAGAAAAGAACATACAGTAACCAGAATAATTTTGAAAAAGATCAATTTGGGGGGACTAACCCTTCCTGATCTTTCTGTAAAGATATAGAAATCAAGCCCTGGCCAGTTTGGCTCAGTGTTTAGAGCGCCGTCCGTGGACCAATGAGTCGTGGGTTCAATCCTGGTCAAGGGCACGTACCTCAGTTGTGGTTCGTCCCCCACCCTTGTTGGAAGGCAACCAGTCAATGTATCTCTCTCACATCCATGCCCTCCCTTTCTCTCTCTCCCTCCCTCCCTCTTTCTCTCTGCCTCCCACTCTATCTGATGATAAGTGGAAAAATATCCTCATGTGAGAATTAAAAAAACAAAAAAAAAAGATATAGTAATCAAGAGAGTAGTATTTGTATAAGAATAATCCCATAGATTAGGAGTCCCCAAACAATGGCATTGGGCCAAATCCTACCACCCACTTATTTCTGCATATAAAGTTTCAGTGAAACATAGTCACACCCATTCATCTACATATAGTCCATGTCTGCTTTCATGCTTCCACAGCAAAGCTGAGTAGCTGAGAAGAGATTGTATGGCCCACAGAACTGAAAACATTTACTGTACTAGCTAATCTTTAATAGAAAAACTTTTCCAACCTCTGCTGTAGATCAGTGGAACTGAATAGAGTCCAGAAATAGACCTGCACTTCTATGGATAATTAGTTTTCAACAAAGATGCCAAGATAATTCAGTGGGAGAGAGGATAGTCTTTCAGCAATGGTTCTGGAGAAAAACTAGAGCTCTTTATAGAAAAATGAAAAATGAACCTCTATCCTTATAACACACCAGAGACAAAAATTAACTTAAAGTTATACTGAAAAAAGAGCTATGGTACTGGCATAAAGATGGACATATAGACCAATGGAATAGAATGTAGAATCCAGAAATTAATACATACATTTATTTAAGGTCAACTGATTTTTGACAAGGGTGCTATATCATTCAATGGGGAAAGAATCATCTTTCAACAAACGATGCTGGGACAAGTGGATATCCATATGTAAAAGAATGAAAGTGGACCCCCTGCTTTGCATCATATATAAGAATTAACTAAAAACAGATCAAAGATCTAAATGTAATAGTTAAAACTATAAAACTCTTAGAAGCATAGGTATGAATATGCATAACCTTGGATTAGGCATTGGTTTTATAGCAGATACCAAAAGCAAAAGCAATCAAAGAAAAAATAGATAAATTGAACTTCATGAAAATTTAAAACTTTCATATGTCAGGAACACTATTAAGAAAATGAAAAAAATTCACAGAATGGAAGAAAATATTTGTAAATCACATATCTGGATAAGGATCTAATGCCTAGCATATATAAAGGACTCTGTGGCAATAAGAAAATAAACAACCTAAAAAATGAGCAAGGGATTTACATAGACATTTCTCTACAGAAGATATTGAAATTGCCAATAAGGCCCTGGCCAGTTTGGCTCAGCAGTTAGCACGTCGGCCTGTGGTCCAGAGAGACCCGGGTTCGGTTCCCGCTAAGGGCCTGTACCTCGGTTGCAGTTTGTCCCCGGCCCTGGTTGGGTCGTGCGGGTGGCAACCATTCGATGTGTCCCTTTCACATTGATGTTTCTCTCTCTCTCTTCCTCCCACTCTATCTGAACAAAAAATCAAAAAATGTCCTCGAGTGAGGATAAAAAAAAAAAAAGAAATTGTCAATAAGTACATGAAAAGATACTCAATATTCACCCTGGCCGGTTGGCTCAGCAGTTAGAGCATTGGCCTGAGGACCGAAGGATCACGGGTTCAATTCCCGGTCAAGGGCATGTACCTGGGTTGCACATTTGATCTGCAGCTCTGGTCGGGGGTCATGTAGAGGCAACCAGTTGATGTGTCTTTCTCACATCGATGTTTTTCTCTCTCTCTCTTTCTCTCCCGCTCCTCCCCTTCCACTCTGTCTAAAAAAAAAATCAATAGAAAAATATTCTTGGTTGAGGATTAACAACAACAGCAAAAGATACTCAGCATCGTTAGTCTGTAAGCTGAGAAGTCCAAGATCAAGGCATTGGCAGATTTAGTGTCTGATGACAACTTATTTCCTGGTTCATAGATGGCTGTCTCCTCACTGTGTCCTCACATGGCAGAAGGGACAAGGGAGGTCTCTGGGGTCTCTTTTATAAGGTCACTAATCCCGTTCATGAGAGCTTTGCCCTCATGACACAGTTACCTCCCAAAGGCCCCACTTCCAAATACTATCACTTTGGGAATTAGCTTTCAACATATGAACTTGGTGGGAGAGAAGAACACAGACATTCAGTCTATAGCATATGACATTTTTTAAAAGAAAAAACTATAATAATAGAAAAGTAATCAGTGGTTGCCAGAAGTTATAGGAGGGGGCACAATAAAGCGACATCATGAGGAAGGTGTTTGGAGTCATGCACCTATTCTGTATTCTGATTTTAGTTGTGGTTGCACAAATCTGTACATGGGTTAAAATTCATAGAACTATTCATCATATAAATAGATTTACTGTGTGGTAATATAAAAAATAAAATAAAATTTTAAATGGGACCTATAATGAGTTTGCTGGGAGGACTAGCAATAAGGCACTTACTATCTGGCACATAGTGAATATTCAGTAAAATGTTTAGTTTATTAATCTTTCAAGCTTTTGGGATTTTCACTCTTAAAACTTATTTTAATTCAGTCAAACTGCAAAAATCTGAAGAGATGCTCACTGAAAGGGAAACATGGTGGTGACACATAGCTGATTAGTATGTAATGAAGTGTTAGAAGAATGGGACAAGGGAGAGGTCCCAGGAGAAGGGTGGGCCGGGAAGATGAAGCTGGTTGCTCGCTGGGCACCAACCTTGCCAGGCTCCTTCAGTCACGTGACATCCCTGGTTGACACTTACCAAGTACTGCTTCTCTGTTGTGGCAGTTTGCTGGGATGGAGTCAGGCTATGCTTGCTTTTGTGGAAACAATCCTGATTACTGGAAGTATGGGGAGGCAGCCAGTACTGAATGCAACAGCGTCTGCTTCGGGGATCACACCCAGCCCTGTGGTGGTGATGGCCGGATCATCCTTTTTGACAGTGAGTATGCCCTGTGCCCGTTACTGTTGAAGACACAGGAACCCTTGGGCCCGGGGGACAAGCCTGTCCCTGCCCTCCTTTCCTCCTAGTTATGCCTTCATTCACTTGGCAATACTTATTAAACACCTACTGCAGGCCAGGCACTGACCAGTCCCTAGGATACAGTGCCGAACAAGAAGATTCAGGCCCAACCCTCTAGAAAGGAAGACATTCATTTAACAAGTAATGAATTTACAATTGTATCATATACTTGAAGAGACATGGCCTATTGTGAGATACTTAGACAACCAAGAAAAGATGATCTTTCCAATTTGATACAGACCCTAATATAACTGTTCAGTGTCAGGTTTAAGATCCTCTTGTTGTGTGTGTGTTATTTTAAAAGAAAGATCCTCTTGTTTTAATGTAACCACCAAGCTCTTTTAGTGTTTTCTTAGGCATTTTGTGATTTATATCTTATTGGGATGCAGCTGAGAAGAGCATAAGCTTCGAGTTGTCTTCCAGGCCTAGTATTAAGTGTGCCCTGAACCACATCCTCTCTGACCTGCCACACTTGTGAAATGATGGCTAGAGGCAGGGAGTGTTCTGAATGGGATGTGGATCCAGAGCCTTGACCTCTCCAACACCTTGTTCTAACCTCTGGGCAACCTGGTCCCTCAGCATAATCCACCCACATCTACTCAGTGGTAGTGAGACTTTGTGAGAGCCATAGTACTAATATCTGGTACCATAGTCCCAGACTTTAAGATGGTAGAAAGGACAAATGAGGCAGACAAAAGGAAAGACTTCAGATTACTAAGACATACTGTAGAGCAGATAATGTTTTTGTTATGCTTTTGGCATCTCAACTAGGCAGAGTGGCTATTTTAGGCAAAAATGTCATGGTGTATTAGTTTCCTGGGGCTGCTGTAACAAATGATCATAAATTATGTGGCTTAAAACAATAGAAACATATTCTCTGATAGTTTGGGAAACTAGAAGTCTGAAATCAATGTGGTGTCAAGTTTATGCTCTCTCTAAAGGCGCCAAGGAAGAATCTTTGGTTTTTCCTGGCATCTGGTCATTGCTGGTCATCCTTGGCATTCTTTGACTTGAGCCCCATCATTCCCATTCTCTGCCCTCTTCTTCACATACACTAAAACCTTGATGTAACGGATAATTGTGGTGAGGGGCTGTCCATTAGAGCTGAAAGTCTGTTTTCCAAAGGCATATGTTAAAAATTTGACAAATTAGTTAGTTTACCTGTTTTTACTTATATAGACATGTTTTTGTAATTAAAATTAAGTATGTATGAAAAGTTTTGTGTATATATATTACTGTAATTTTACTTTTATACTGAATAGGTCTAGTAAATTTGTATATTCACCAATCACTGCAAGTAAACAAATGCACATGGCTGGGGCAAGGCTTAGTGAACGTGGGAACATTGGTGGGAACATCGGCTAGCTCACGTTAAAACTGCCGCAGAGCCCAGTCGGAGAGGCTCAGTGGATTGAATGTTGTCCCATGGACTGAGAGGTCCTGGTTTGATTTCCAGTCGAGGCACATGCCCTGGTTGCAGGCTTGATCCCTAGTGGGGGACAGCCAGTCATGTTTCTTTCTCACATCCATGTCTCTATCTATCTCTCCCTTCTGCTCTCTCTTTAAAAAAACAATAAAAACTTAAAAAAAAAAAAACCTGCTGCAGAAAGTCACACCATGAGACAACAGAATGAATTACCACACACTACAGTGTGATCACATGCTAATCATTTGTGAATATAGTTTATGAGTGATGACTCTTGGATTTAAATATGTAGACGATAGTTGTAGATGTGTAATATTAATTTATATAAGCGAAATTACTGCAGTGTTTTTTCCGACATATGTCCTATTTGTTATAATTGTTAAAAATAATAGTGAATTGCCCTGGCCGGTTTGGCTCAGCGGTTGGAGCGTCCACCTGCGGTCCTGAGAGACCCGGGTTTGGTTCCCGCTAAGGGCGCGTACCTCGGTTGCAGTTTGTCCCCGGCCCTGGTCGGTCGTGCGGGTGGCAGCCACTCGATGTGTTCCTTTCACATCGATGTTTCTCTCTCTCTCTCTGTTCCTCTCTCTCCCTCCCACTCTACCTGAACAAAAAAATGGAAAAATGTCCTCAGGTGAGGATAAAAAAATAATAATAATAATAATAATAATAATAGTGAATTAATAACAACAAAAAAATAACCTGTTAATTTAATTATAACAAATCTTGGTTTAAAGCCTTTGAAAATTAACAGCATGTTAATTTTCAATATGACATACAGAACGGAAATTTTGTCCATTAAACCCGAAATCTGTTAAATCAAGGTCCTATGTCCACAAAATTGAGGGTTTACTGTATTCATCCTTCCTCTGTATGTGTCTGTGTCTCTATATCTCTGTATCTCCCTATAAGGACACCAGTCATTGGATTTAGGGCCGTCCCTAATCTAGTAACTTGATTGCATCTGTAAAGATCCTAGTTTTAAATAAGGTCCCATTCACAGATACAGGCATTGTGACTTGAATATATGTTTTGGGGGGATACAGTTTAACCACTACATATGATGACTGTAAAACCCAGCCCAAGTTTATGACTAAGCCTGTCGCAGGTCATAGCTTAGACATTGTTTGGTGTGTGTGTTTTGAGGGAGGGAGGGACAGAGGAAGGATTGGCAAGCAGAACTCATGTGGTTAATTGTTGGTCTTTTTAGCTAAGTGTACCTATTGGAGACTACCAGTGGCTTCCTATACATCTTTTTTTTTTTCTTTATTGATTTTAGAGAGAGAGGAAAGGAGAGAGAGATAGAAATATTGATGAGAAAGAATATCGATTGGCCGCCTCCTGCATGCCCCCCACTGGGGATTTGGCCCACAACCTGAACATGTGCCCTGACCGGGAATCGAACCGGCAGTCTCTTGGTGCGTGCATGGGTGGATGCTCAACCACTGAGCCACACCGGCCGGGTGGCTTCCTATACATCTTGTTATGTCAAGACAAATGCTTGCTTAGCCCTGGCTGGTTTGGCTCAGCAGTTGAGTGTCGGCCTGCGGACCAGAGAGTCCCTGGTTCGGTTCCTGCTAGGGGCACGTACCACAAAAAAAAAAAGGCAAATGCTTGGTTTTAGTAGCTCTGTTAAAGCTAAAGACTGGTCCACCAGTGTAGCTCAGTGGTTCAGCATCAACCCATGCTCCAAGAGGTCGCCAATTGATGTTTTTATCTCTCCCTCTCACTTCCAATCTCTGTAAGATAAATAAAGGGGGAAAAAAGGTTAAAAAATAAATAAATAAAGCTAAAGACTGAACTGTGGCTAACATTTAAGGAAGAATAGTTGACAAATAGTATGCACTGCACATCTATTTAACCTTTCATTTCCAGAGTTGGTTATTGTAAAATCCTCTGCCGTGGCACCCTAACCCAGGAGAGTATGTTTGCTGAACTTACAAATTTTCTGGTATACTCTTAAGTGAAAAAAGAAAGGAAATAATTATTGAGTATTTAGAATGCATTAAGGCTTTATATCAATTATTACATTAGATCCTCCCAGCAACCATCCGAGGAAGACATTATTATTATCACTCTGATTTTACAGAATGTAAAGAGTCCTAGGGTGTGAGGAGGATAAATAAAATAACTTGCTGGAGCTCACACTGCCAACAAGCTGTGCGTGGGACTAGCCAATAAACAGAAGCTGGGTGTGTGGGTTCACTACCTGTTTTTCTACTTTAAACGATTATTATATTAATTTTCATAGCACAGTTCAAGTTTATTCCATTTGTTCTTGCAACACAAAACTCAAACAATATCATTTAACATTCTGATGTACATGAACTAGGATAATATGAGAAACCCAACTGTGTCAAAAGTATTACATTGTGGAAAAAATTAACTCAAATATATCAAAATGTGCAAAGCATTAGTCTTCCTCTATTACTGCTCAGAAAGATATGATTGTTTCTCCATTTCCAAAATAGAATTAGGACAATTTAATTTTTAAAAATTTTGCATGCAAAACACTATAATTGCTTACGTAGGAGGGCACTCTCACCAGCTTCTACACACAATCAAGTATACAATATTGCATGGAAGAAAACAGTAGCTCGGTTGAAGTTTTAGGGAAAAAACCAAATAGGTACATATAGATTTAAAATCCATTATTTGAGCCCTGGCCAGTTTGGCTCAGCAGTTAGCATTCGACCTGCGGACCAAAGGGTTGCGGGTTCGATTCCTGATCAAGGACACGTACCTGGGTTGCAGGTTGGATCCCTATCCTCCCTTGATCAGGGTCCTGGGGGAGGCAACCAATCGATATGTTTCTCTCATATCTATGTTTCTCTCTCTCTCTCTCTCTCTCTCCCCCCCATTCCTTCCAATCTATCTAAAATAATCAGTGGAAAAATATCCTTGGGTGAGAATTTAAAAAAAAAAAAATTTTTGTTATTTGGGAGAAAGAAATAATGAATAAAGGGCCTATTTGCTTGCAGTTTCCATACCCTGTACTTACCTACTTTTTCTTCCTGGCCCACTGGGTTTAGAAGGTGAGCTATATATAGAACTACTTGGTTATTGTGTTCCTTTTTAAAAATCGAAAGTAAATGTTTGTGAGGATAAGGAGAAATTGCAACCCTTGTGCACTGCTGGTGGAAATGTTAAATGGTGTAGCTGCTTTGGAAAACTGTCTGACCTTTTCTCAAAACAGACTTACCTCTGACCCAGTAATTCCATTCTTAGATATATACCCAAGAGAGTTGAAAACATACGTTCATGCAAAAACCTGTACACGGAAGTTCTTAGCAGCATTATTTATAATAACCAAAAGTGGCAACAACCCAATGACCATCAACTGATGAATATCCATTCAACAAAATGTGGTACAAGCAGACCTTGTTTTATTGTACTTCGCAGATGTTGCTTTTTTTTTTTTTTTTTTTTTACAAATTAAAGGTAAGACCCATTAAAAGCAAAAAGATTGACTTGCTGAAGGCTCAGATGATGGTTA